TGGAGATAAGGCTTGTAGCCTGTGTGCGTATGTCGGGGACATAGCGCTTGAAAAAGGGGCTTCATGAAGTTTGTACTCGAGAAGTAGCTTGCCTTCAGTGGAGGTAATGGAGGCTCGTCGCCTGCTTGGAGTTGAGCTGGTCAGCTGCAACTCGAACAATGGCCTTCTTGTTGTAGTAAGATGCCAACTGCTATTGGGAAGCTCGAACAATGGCCTTCTTGTTGTAGTAAGATGTGAGCTACTGTTGGTAAGTTGCAACTCGAACAATGGCCATTTCTCGTTCTTCTTCGAGCAGATCAAGGTTGACTTTCATCTGCTTGCAGTTTTGGTCAAGACTGCCCACCTCAATGCTCATGGAAGGGACTGTGATGTGTGGGGGGGTGATTGCTTCTGTCCCATAGGCTAGAGAGAATGGTGTCTAGCCGGTTGATCTCCTTTTGGTTGTGCGATAAGCCCACAGGACTCCTGGAAACTTGTCGACCCATTTTCCTTCTGCGCCTTCCAGTCTTTTCTTCAAGCAGTCCAGCACGATCCTGTTGGATGCTTCTGCTTGGCCATTGCCTTGCGGGTATCTGGGGGTTGACACGTACTGTTTGATGTCATACTTCGCAAGGAACACAGTGATCTGCCTGCCCAGGAACTGTGTACCATTGTCAGTGACTATCGACTGCGGGCATCCGAACCGGCAGATGATGTTCTTCCAGATAAATCGTTTGACATCAGCTTCCTTGGTAGAGGATAAAGCCTCGGCCTCGATCCATTTGGTGAAGTAATCCGCGGCGACGATCATCATCTCCTTGTTGGCAGGTGATGTCGGCATAGGTCCCACCAAGTCGATGGCCCATTGCATGAAAGGCCATGGACTGTTTTGCGGATGGTATTCCTCAGCTGGCAAGCCAGGGATCGACTTATATCGTTGGCACCGATCACATCTTTGAGCATACTCCGTGGAGTCTTGGCGCATGGTAGGCCAGAAGTAGCCTATGCTGAAAGCCTTCTGGGCAAACAATCTGCCCCCAGCGTGATTTCCACATTCACCGTCGTGTATTTTGCAAAGAACCTCGAGCGTCTGCGGGTACTTGATGCAAGTAAGGTGAGGGCCGGAGTATGATCTGCGAACAAGCATGTCACCTTTCATGTAGTACCTCGCAGCCTTCTGTTTGATTTTCCGAGCCTCGGACTTGTCCTTGGGTAAGTTTTCGTTAACCAGGTAGTCAATGATGGGGTCTTGCCAGCTAGGATCCTCGTCGATCTGCATCAAGTTTGGCTGTTCTGCCTCTTCTATGCTTGGCTGGTCAAGGTGCTCGACCGGGATAGAGCGCCTGAACTGGGTATCAAGCGCTGATCCTAAGCTCGCCAGTGCGTCTGCGTGTGCGTTCTCTGCTCGAGGCACTTGTTGGATGGTGAAGGTAGGAAACGCCTTCAACAGCTCTTGGACTTTGTCAAGGTACAAGATCATCCTTGGGTGCTTCGCCATGTATTCTCCTGAGGCTTGATTTGTGATCAGCTGGGAATCTGAGTA